TTAGAAAGCTAAGTGATTTTTAACGATAAGAAAAATATCCTTTCCTACAATAAAAAAGGAGAATTAGTCTCTACTTGTGTGACACGATAGCTTAATTATTCTCTCTATGACTATTAATGGCAAAAACTTTACAAGGTACCCTCACTTCATTTAAAAACGCTGCAGAAAGGTGCTAATGCAGACATCATATTTCTTATAGGTTCTCTTTCCTGATTGTCTGTTGAATCCAGACTAGAGAGCAGGTTTATTCACGGTTCCTAGACTTACTAACAGTAGAATAATAGAGATTGTACATTTATGTATCAAACCGCTCCCCCGAGGAACCAGTTTCCAGTTTTTATCTTTATGACTTAGACAGACTTAGACAACATTTATTGTCGTTTTGTAAACAACAAGTGTATACAAAAAGAAATTTCATTTTGTACAGCTCTCATGACATTTTCATTTTCTGAAAGTGCAGCAGTGATCAAATGTAAATATTGTGGGAGAAAAAACATGGTGCAAAAAAAACAAAACAAAAAAAAAGCGCATTAATATGGTCAGTTTGATGCAGAGACCATGACTAGATTTAGAGTTTTTCAACATTCAGCTGTCTAATGGCAGTGGGGAAGAAATGTTTCGGAATCTGCTGGACCTGTATCGAATGCTGTGAAGCCTCTTCCCACAGGGCAGCAGGGAGAACAGTCCATGGTGGGGATGTGAGGGGTCATTTATGATGTTACGGGCTCGGGACATGCAGCGCTGAGATGAAATGTATTTTCTTCTCTGCTGTTCTTACTACTCTTCTCACCTGCTTCTAGTCTGAGGCGCTGCAGCCTCTACACCACACAGTGAGTCAGCCGGTCAGAAAGCTCTCTATGGTGCTTCTGTGGTGCGATGGGGGGCGGCGGCGGCAGGTGGACTCTTCTCATCCTTTGCAGGAAGTGCATACTCTTTTGAGCCCTTTTTACCAGTGAGGTGGTGTTTGTAGTCCAGTTGAGGTTGTCCGTGATCTGCACCCCCAGAATCTGCTGACCACCTCTACAGCTGAGCTGTTGATGAGCAGTGGAGCATGATAAGGCTGGTTCTACCTGAAGTCAGCGATGATTTCCTTTGTTTTCTCCACATTCAGAATCAGGTTGTTGTCTCTACACCAGCTGCTCCAGCTTTTCTCTGTAGTCCAGGTTGTTGTCGTCTCCGATGAGCCCCGCCACCGTGGTGTCGTCTGCAAACTTCCCAATGTGATTGGTGGTGAACCTGG